ATGTGATGGCATATTCTTAAGTAAATAATATACTTTGTAACCTTGCAGCTCTGCACAGATGTAGTGGTGTGCACCCAGGTGTGCAGCAAGGTTTGTAATGGAATTGAGAAAGAATAAAAGACACAATAGCAAGCAGTCTAGAAATTTTTCTATTGTATTTGTTTGAGAGATACTTTGTTTCTACAATAAAACTAAAAAGTATACAAGAAGTATAACAGAATTTTCCTTGTGTAGAGGGACTTACTTTTTTTTTTTTTTAAGAGGGACTTACTTTTTTAATAGAGTTGCTGTTTTTATTATCATGTGCAGATAGTATTGCTTCCAATAAACACTAATTTGTTTCTTAATAAATAACTTTATATGTCATCTAAGAATATTTTAATTGTAGCATTTTGAAGTGTTTTAATTTCTTACTGTTTGAGTGCTATGTGTTTATAAATTGTGCTGAAAAGTACATTTGTGTAGTTGATTGCTAACTTGGATTTTGTATTCTTTTTCTAGCAAAAAATGGCCCCATTTATGATGTAGTTTGGAATTCTAGTTCTACTGAGTTTTGTGCTGTTTATGGTTTTATGCCTGCCAAAGCAACAATTTTCAACCTGAAATGTGATCCAGTCTTTGACTTTGGAACGGGTCCCCGTAATGCTGCTTACTACAGCCCTCATGGACATCTATTAGTGTTGGCTGGATTTGGGAATCTGCGAGGACAAATGGAAGTGTGGGATGTTAAAAACTACAAACTTATTTCTAAGCCAGTGGCCTCTGATTCCACATATTTTGCCTGGTGTGCAGATGGTGAGCACATTTTAACAGCCACGTGTGCTCCCAGGCTGCGAGTTAATAATGGCTACAAGGTGTGGCATTACACTGGCTCCGTCTTGCACAAGTATGAGGTGCCATCCAGTGCGGAAATGTGGCAGGTTTCTTGGCAGCCGTTTTTAGAGGGAATATTTCCAGCAAAAGCAGTAATTTACCAAGCAGTTCCAAGTGAAGTGCCCAGTGAGGAGCCCAAAGTTGCAGCAGCTTACAGACCCCCAGCCCTGAGAAACAGACCCTCCACTGGTTCGAAACTGGTAAGTAAAGTTCTCATACTGTAGTAGAAAAAGAAGGGTTTTCCATGTGTGAAGTTCTCTTGACTGTGTGTGTGTGTGTGTGTTTTCTTGAGTTGCGTAATACCTTACTGGAATATAAGCAGAGGGCCACAAATCATCTACAACCTAGTGTTGAAAAGGTAGTTAACTGAAGATAATCCACATTTTCAAAACTGGAAAAGCTAGTGTGCTGTCCCAGCAGGGCCCAGACTGTGCTGCCAGGTGCGGCCAGTAGTGGGAGTAGCGCAGAATGAATGGTGAAGGGGGATCTTAGGCCCAATTGAAAGGGTAGAGCAACCTCACAGGATTGCTGCCACGGGGGATGTTAAGCCCAGATTGCCCAAATCTTTGATTCTTCAAAACCAAACCACTCTGATCACTGAATGTGAAATCTCTAAACTTGTAAAACACTGTATTAGTCCAAACATTTATAGTCCTTAGGCTATCAATTCCCTGCTTGTAAGAGTTTTGGGGAAATTTTTATTATCTTTCCATAACTTTTGATTTTTAATCATTTTATGGGGAGCTCATACAGCTCTTACCACAATCCATACATCCATCATGTCATGTACATTTGTTGCTATCATCATTCTCAAAACATTTTCTTTCTACTTGATCCCTCTGCATCAGCTCCTTGTTTTTTTTCCCCTCCCTCCCCCACCCTCCCTCACGAACCCTTGAAAATTGATAAATTATTACTATTTTTTCATGCCTTACACTGACCCATGTCTCCCTTCTCCCACTTTTCTGTTGTCTGTCCCCCAGGGAGGGGGTTATATGTAGATCCTTGTGCTCAGTTCCCCTTTCCTCCCCCACCCTTCCCCTTCCCCTCCTGGTATGGCTGTTCTCATGATTGGTCCTGAGGGGTGTATATGTTCTGGATTCCCTGTATTTCCAGCTCCTATCTGTACCAGTGTACATGCTCTGGTCTAGCCAGATTTGTAAGGTAGAATTGGGATCATGATAGTAGCAGGAGGAAGCATTTAAGAACTAGAGGTGAAAAACAAAAAGAACAAAAAAGAACTAGAGGAAAGTTGTATGTTTCATTGTTGCTATACTACACCCTGACTGGCTCGTCTCCTCCCCATGACCCTTCTGTAAGGGGATGTCCAGTTGCCTACAGATGGGCTTTGGGTCTCCACTTCACATTCCCCCTAATTCACAATGATAAGATTTTTTTATCTGGGTCGTTGATGCCTGATACCTGATCCTTTCGACACCTCGTGATCACATAGGCTGGTGTGCTTCTTCCATGTGGGCTTTGTTGCTTTTCAGCTAGATGCCTGCTTGTTTATTTTCAGACGCTATATCTTTTGATAGCCAGACATCACCAGCTTTCTTCACCACATTTGCTTATGCACCCGCTTTGTCTTCAGTGATTGTTACAGGATGGTTTAACTTCATATTGTAGACTAAGACCAGAAGTTTCAGATTTTAGTTATTTAAAAGGGGCTAGTCTTGCTCTTATAACAGTGGTTCTCAACCTTCCTAAAGACCCTTTAATACAGTTCCTCATGTTGTGGTGACCCACCCCCCCAATCATAAAATTATTTTCGTTGCTACTTCATAACTGTAGTTTTGCTACTGTTATGAATCAGGCAACCCCTGTGAAAGGGTCATTCGACGACACCCCACACACACAAAAGGGTCGCGACCCGCAGGTTGAGAGCCGCTGTATTAAAATGTTAACCATTTAAAGCTCAGAGGAGAGCATTTATTAATGTCTTCAGTTTCTGTAATAGTGTTATAAGGGAAGAGTGTTGCTCTGATATTAGAAAGGTGGCCACGTAGCAGTTATAAGCAGGTAATATTTCCAAGATACCTAATCAAAGAATAGATCGTCTTCAGCCTACCTCCACAGCGCCTCACTCCTACAAGTAAACGACCCTCCTCCTCTGTGAACACAATGTAATGGTTGACTCTTATTGAAATGTTCTGTTTAAACATTTCTGTTACGTGCATTATTTAGTAAAGATATGTGACAAACCCCATTTGTGATCTTTGTCCTTAGTGCAGAAAAGAACACGTAATTGTTTTCCTTATCTAAGGTTAAACAAACAAGTAACTCAACCCACCCTGCTTTCTAAATCTGTGGAGATGGCACTGGAAAAATTTGTGAGTTATTGTATGGTTTTATTCTCTGGTCAATAAAACAAGTTTGTTTAGGGGGACGGAGGAGGGAATTAATCTAGAAAGAGGGTATATACTCGAGTATAAGCCGACCCGACTATCAGCCGAGGCACCTAATTTTACCACAAAAAAACTGCATTAAAACCTACCTGTAACCCCTTCCCAGGGGGATGGACAACAGACAAGGGGTTAAAGGGAAACATTGGACAGTGCAAGATGTAAAAAAAAAAAATTAATAAATTATCAAGGGTTCATGAGGGAAAGGGAGGGGATGAGGAGCTGATACCAAGGGCTCAAGTAGAAAGAAAATGCTTTGAAATTGATGATGACAATATATGTACAAATGTGCTTGAGACAATGGATGGATTATAATGAGTTGTACAAGCCCCCAATAAAATGATATTTTTAAATGCCTTAAAAATGTGCTGGAAAACTCAACTTATACATGAGTATATACAGTATTTTGAAAATTATAAAATTCTGTAAGAATTTATTAAAATCAACTTTATAACAGCTATGATTTCTGCTATATGTTTACTTGTACCCTTGATAGATGAGTATGCAGCATCAATGCAGTTGAAGTGCTTGCCCACTATTAAGCATATTTTATTAGTATGTGAAGATAGGGCACAGGACCCCGGCCCACCTCCTCAGGCTGCAGTAGAGAGGAGGCGAATCCAGCTCTATGTTTGCCCAGGGATGCCTCTTCTCCAGCTGCATTTTGATCTGACGCGGCCTCCTCCCCACAGTACTCTGCTTCTCCACGGGGTGGCCACAGAAAACTCATATATAATACTCACAGTTATGGGGGCTATTAGGGAAGAAGCTGACAGGTTAAAGATACAGCTCTCTTGTCTGCAGCACATCTTCTCAGCCACGGTGGCAAGCATGTCTCAGCCATGTGGGCACTTGGCCGCTGCCCTACTCTAGCAAGTGTTACAAAGCTCCTTTACTGGATGAATGCCTGCGAACACTCCACTCTGGAAACCAGCTTCCTGCCCCAAAGCCCTCCGCTCCACTCCTACCCCTCCTCTCTGCCTCCCAGTCTCTGTGTTGCTCCTCAGCCTCCCCGCCCCACAGAGACCTTAAACCCACCTCACTCCTGCTTAGCTCCTGTTGCCTGGGGGATTCTTTGTTCTAACTTCTGGGATGGCTCACTTTATGCCTCAATGGTTCTCAACCTGTGGGTCGTGACCCCTTTAGGGGGGGTCAAATGACCCTTTCACAGGGGTCGCCTGATTCATCACAGTAGCAAAATAACAGTTATGAAGTAGCAGTGAAAATAATTTTGTGGTTGGGGGTCACCGCAACATGAGGAACTGTATGAAAGGGTCAGGGCATTAGGAGGATTGGGAACCCCTGTTAGACGTAGTGGAAGGTAAAACTGATCAGAGAAAACCCTGACAAAATGACTAAAAGAAATGCAATGTGGTTGCATTTTCACAAAGAAGGGCTGCATAGAAGGAAGGGGAAAATGATTTGGGGATTCGACCCCTGAAGAAAATTAATTTTTTATAAGTAAGAATTTGAGTCTTTCAAAAAGTATTTTTCAGCTTTCAGAAAAACCTTCACTTTTGAAATGTGTCCATCAATGTTGTTTCGTAACCATTGGTATACCAAAGAAACAAGATCCACTAATAGTTGAAACCCGTAAATTGTGCACGGAGGCACAGAGCGCTAAAGCCAGCAAAGCTCATGACCCCAGTGGTCATGTGGAGTTTTTCCTTCCATTTTTTTGTCCAAAATAGGTCTTGTTACTGACCACATGATGCTCATAAGTGTGGAACAGACTTGTAACTCGTTCTTTCTCTTGGTATAACTTTTCATGTATTTACCATTTTTTTAAAGACATTCTCATGAACAAACTTTTTGGTCTTAGAGAAAAGTCTACTGTTCAGATAATATTTTTATATTTATGTGCAAAGCAGATGTTCAACAGATACTGTTACCTAACACGCTAGCTGATGGAAATGTAAAAGAGGTGAAAGATGCCAGTCTTCCAAATGTGTCTGTTCTACAAATGTGAGCTCGTGGATCCAGGTTGCTTAAGTGGGGCATAGCCACACGACTGTCAAAGAGTTGATGTAGCTTCTGAGATAAGGGGCTCTGTAGTGTCTCATTTATTCTTGCTTATCTTAAATGTTTGAGCCCTGCTCCTTTCTTAGAGGGCTTCCCATCAGACCTGGTGCTGGTGAAGCTTCATGATGCTGAGTGCTTGGAGTGTAAGACACAGTTCACACTGAGATAGTAGCGAGGTGGAGAGATTATGTAAATGGATCTGGTAAGGGATTGTCATGCTCACTCTTAGAATATCTGAAATGACCCTGGAGGTACTTGGAAACTATGCTTAATATCTTCCTTTCTCTTGTGAAATATAATTGATAAATGCCTGAGTAAGTAACTATCTGGTCAAAGAAATAACTGTCTGCCATGTAAAAGCCTAACAGGCCATGGCCCCCTTTTTTGTAGACCTCTTCATTATGCTAAGCTCAGATTTATAAAATCACTCAGTTACTCGCATCTTTCTGTTTAACTTATTATGGTCTATTTTAGTCTTTTTCCTTTTTAATTTCCTAATCTCTGTTTTTGCAATTAAAATATCTTAACAAGTCAGTTTTCAAACAAAGAAAAGTGAGGAAATTTACATTTCCGGCATTCATCAGATCCAAAAAGATATCAGGAGACGCCATTGTTATCTAACTTCCTAAGAGTCCTGTGGTCGTAGTGGTACTAAAGCAAGTCCATCGTTCGACTAAGCTAAAGGAAGTGGGCTTCCCCACTCTCTGGGGACTGAAAGGTCAGCTGGTGGGAAGATCCTTCTTAAATCCTACCTGACACGTGGAGTATGTCACTCCCAATGAAAGTGTTGAAATGTTCTGTGCCTAAAATGATACCATACTACCCAACGTGGTATGTTTTTAAAAGCATGGACTCCCATTTCAAAATCATTTCTTTTCTATTTTCTGTAGCATGAGGAAGAACCACCTCAGAATATGAAACCACAGTCTGGAAGTGATAAGCCGTTATCAAAAACAGCCCTTAAAAACCAGCGGAGGCACGAGGCTAAGAAAGCTGCAAAACAGGTATGTGGAATATGATCTCTTCAAAACAGAACAAATATGCAAACAAGCCGGTTAGATTTTCCTGTAAGCCTTCCAATGCAAGGAACTGGGGCCCTGGGGACTTGATTGTTACATTCTACATGGTTGCCTGTGACTTCCTCGTTGGTATTGCATGTATGTTGGAGTGCGGAATCTAATCCCAGCCTGAAGATCTGAAGCTGGAGTGGCATTGTGGAGTAGTTGCAAATGATCGCAGCAGCCCCTGTTGCTGGGTCCTCTGGAATGGCATCGTTCGCTTCTTTAAAACGTGTGTTTGTTTGGAGAGGCTGCAACTGACAGTGACAAAGTTATTTTGTCACCTCAGTCTTTTACCACTGTAGGACATTATTCTTCTGGGCCTCTACACATCAGAAGTATCCAAATGGACACTTATTCTAAAGTGAGTTTTTGGTTATGCAGTTGGAAAACTAGACCTAGGCAAAAGTTGATAAAGAAATAGTGATAGTTTGGGCTCCTGGTGACGTTGTGATAAGCTGTCCTGGAACTCTGGTTGGTGGTGTCATGGTGGCATTCCTGAAATTCAGACGAGCTGCAGTAGAAATCTAACAGCTGATGGCTATACTATCCATACAGTCTTACCGACAGTGCTTGAATTTTGACAGCACTAAGCTGCTTATGTGTTTGGGTAGGCACTAAGCCATTTCAAGGTCTAGAATTGCATCACGTAACCACGTGCTCCGAAATGTGGGATTTAAAAAAAAAATCATTGTAGTTAATATATTTCATCGCCAAAAATATCTTTAAAGAGGCTGGGTAGGTGTGGTCATTGCAAGTAAAATAATCTACTCTGATAGGTTAGATTTGTCTAAAAGCAAAATGAGTGCTTTTGTCTGGGTGGGTGGTGCCCCCTGGTGGCTTGGCCCTTCTACAGAGAAGAAAAATGCGTAGTTCATACCATCTGGCTTTTAAGTCTTGTCTTTAAATTTGACCATAGACCAGTGCTTTAAGATCTGAAAAAGCCCTACTGTATATCTAAAACCCTGTCAGCTGGTACAGAAATGTCGCTTACCCTGCTAAGGTCATTTTGTGTCTTTCATTTGTCATTTTACCATTAACTAGCACTTTTTGTTCTACTACTTACTCGATTACTTTAAATTCTAGATCTAGCACAGTGCTCCTCATGACAGTTCTACCTTTTGGTGTATATCTTTGGGGTATCATACTTTGGGTTTTTAAAGCTGGATTTTATATATCTGCCATGGGAATGTGTGACATTCATGAGACCTTCCGTTCAGATCCTTTCTGTAGTATAAGCAGTAAAATAAAATGCTTGGTTTTTATACTTTGCATGAGCGTTATGATGGTTGAACTAATTCAGTGTTTTCATGTTAGAAAATTCCATTACTTTTTTTTATTCTTTAGGAAGCAAAAAGTGACAAGAGTCCAGATTCGGCAGCTCTTCCTGCTCCAGAGAACACAGCACGAAACCCTGCCCCTCAGTCAATCTCTGGAGACCCTGAGGTGGACAAAAAAATTAAGAACCTAAAGAAGGTGAGATGTACTTTTTTAAGTAACCGAGAATCATACAAAGCCTGTATGGAAAGTTCATTGTCAGTCTTTCCCTGTGAAGTACTGTAACTTAAGAATGGCACTGAGTTTTGTTCTGTTCGCCTATATGGTTCTCCTCTTACTGATTTTTAACCTGTTGTGTGGCGAACCTGTTAGTATTTCATTAGGCACTCTGTGTAACATCAGGAGGGTGAAATTCCTCCTGAATTAGAAGATGAAGGAACAGAGACAAAAATCATTTATTGATTGTAACCCATAAGATGGTAACTCTGGGGATTAAGACAGTCCTTACAGTCCTGCCTGCCTTCCTACCATTCTATGGAGAGCAGTGGTTCTCAACCTTCCCAATGCCACCAGCCTCTACTACATACAGGTCCTCATGTGTGGTGACCCCTAACCATAACGTTATTTTCATTGCTACTTCATAACGGTAAGTTGGCTGCTGTTACAAATCGCCATGTAAACATCTGATATGCAGGATCCCTGTGAAAGGGTTGTTCGACACACACCCCCCCCAAAGGGGTCGCGACCCACAGGTTGAGAACCGCTGATCTAGAGCCATCTCAGATAACAGTGCCAAGTTTCCTTTAAAATAAAGACCTCATCCAAGTATGACAGATATATATAAAATACAGCCTTTAAAAAACATGTTGGAAAGTCTTACCTTTTAACTCCGTTTTCCATGACCTTTTTGAAATCTCCTGGTATGTATACACTCACTACTTGCTTATTGATCTCATTAGGTTCCAAAGATCAGGATGTCATGTAAAAACTAGCATTGTAGGAACTGAAAACACAGGGAATCCAGGACGGATGAGCCCTATAGGACCAGTGGTGTGAGTGGCAAAACAGGGAGGGTAAAGGGAGAATGGGTAGGGAAGAGGGAACCGATTACATGGAACTGTGTGTGACCTCCTCCCTGGGGGACAGACAACCAAAAAGTGGATGAAGGGAGAAGTCGGACAGGGCAAGATATGACAAAATACCCATTTATAAACTATCAAGGGCTCATGCGGGAGGGGGGAGCGGGGAGGGAGGGGAAAAATGAGGACCTAATGTCGGGGGTTTAAATGGAGAGAAAATGTTTTGAGAAACGATGTACAAATGCGCTTTACACAATTGATGTGTGTATGGATTGGGATAACAGTTGTATGAGCCCCTAATAAAATGCTAAAAAATAAATAAATAAATAACAGTTGGCATTTTTGCTGGCTACCTAAAAAAAAAAACTAGCATTGTACTAAATTAGAGGGTGATCACTTTAGATCACAAACCGGGAGATGATGGCATCATTACGAGAGAACTTTAGAAAGTTTGTGGTAAAATGGAATTAGAATAGAATTTCTCCACAAACTTTTTTTAACCGCACTTGTCTATAGCTGTCAAATCACATCATTACATACAACTTTATTATATCATTACGTAACTGCAAAATCACTGAAAACCAGGGTCCAGCCAAATTGACCCATAACCATCACAGCCAAAAGTCCTATACCACAGACTTCATCCTCCTATGCTGCAAGGCAAAGCCATAGTAGCTGAATGGTTTTATGCTATTGTCATCAACAAGGAATGTCAGGAAACAGGATAAGGGAGAATTTGCTGTGTATGTAGGAGCCATGGTGGTGAAGTGGGTTAAGGACAGGGCTTCTAAACACAAGGTCAGGACTTCAAGCCCACCAGCCACTCCCAAGGGAGAAAGGTGAAGCTGTCTGTTCTCCCAAAGATTTGTAGTTTCAGAAATCTTACGTAGCTTTGCTATGAATTGGAATTGCCTCAATGGCAGTGGGGTTTTTGGTTTATGTATGAGTGTGTTTTGATTTTTGTTTTATTTTGCTTATAAAATATATAAGGATGCTTACTAAATTTCATAGAAAATGGAATGAGAAGTCAATGGAGTTTTTCTACAGACTTTAAAAAGCCCCCATGAAAATATGTTACAGGAATAACAGTAATTACATAGTTTTTCAGACCATTCTTGATACAGATGCTAGGTCATTTAATCTCCTTATCTTGGTTATGCATTCCTATGATTATGGAAATACGCATTCTAAAATAAGTCTCAACTTGATGTTTGCAGAAACTGAAAGCAATTGAACAGCTGAAAGAACAAGCAGCAACTGGAAAACAACTAGAAAAAAACCAGGTACTGTCGTGTGTGCATTGTTCATTTGGGCTTCTGGCCACCACCACCCTCCCCTTTTCATTGTAAGCACTGGAAAGCCAAATGCTTACGTCTATTTTAAGGTTTTTATTCATGAAGCAGAAGGGTTAATGGGAAGGAGCTTTGCAGATCCTGGGGAAATGAAACACTTGTTGCCCCTACACTGTACTAATGCCATTGCTACTGCGAATGATGGCCCGGTCTTCTGTTAGACAAGACTCTCTTCCTCCCTTCCGCCCTCCCTCCCTCCCCCCTTCCTTCCTTCTTTCCTCCCTCCCTCCCTCCCTCCCTCTTAGTTGCTCTGCCCTGTTTGTCCCTTTCCTGTTTCTTTCCTAAGAACCGTTAGCACAGTGGTTCTCAACCTTCCTCATGCCGTGACACTTTAATACAGTTCTTCATGTTGTGGTTACCCCCCCCCAACCATAAAATTATTTTCGTTGCTACTTCATCACTGTAATTTTGCTACTGTGATGAATCGGGCGACCCCTGTGAAAGAGTCATTTGACCCCCAAAGGGGTCGCGACCCACAGGTTGAGAACCGCTGCTTTAGCCCAAGTGAAAAGTAATTGGACCCCAACAAATGCAGCTAGACTGCTGTTCCCTTTTGCCACCTGGATTCGTAGAGAACAATTAGATTTTTTGAAAATGTGTTACCAATGATGTGATAAAGTATCAGAAATAATCTTTCTTAGATCCAGAAACATGGAATTACGTCATTTCCTATTTAATAACTGTATTTTTTATTTTTCTAGTTGGAAAAAATTCAGAAGGAGAAAGCCCTCCTCCAAGAACTGGAAGATTTGGAATTAGGCATTTAATGAGTCCTTAAAAGGAAGTTGGCTACCAGAATTCAAAGCAAATACATCTCTGTTAAACCCACGGTCTTACATGAGCTGTATGCTCACACTTATTGTTCATCTGCAATTTTAACCATTTCACAGGGATTTGACATATGTCGAATTATTTAATAATGTCTACTAAATTGATTCCCTAACATCCTATATATCATGTTAGTTCGTGATATAAAATGAGACATGAATTTTTTAGATAAACTTGACAGATTGGAAGACGTGTGGCCTTGGGTTTCTGTTGGTGGATGGTGGTTGTTTTTCCAGTAAGAAACCAGGATTAACCATAAATAAAGGCATTTTAAGTGTAATCGTTGTTGCTTTCAGTCCATAAATAAAAAAGAGAGCCTTTAGCCCTGGTGGCACAGTGGGTTACTTTGGGCTGTTAACTGTAAGATCTGCAGTTTGAAACCAGCAGCCGCTGTGCAGGAGAAAAGTGAGGCTGTCCGCTTATGTAAAGGTGTACAGCCTCTGAAACCCACCAGGGCAGTTCTGCTTTTTTCTGGAGGATTACTATGAACGAGAATTGACTCAGCAGTGATGCATTATATTTATTTACCAGGTAAGGTTGGGAAGTTTCCATTTTAATAGACAATAGGTCTTTTGCAATTCTAAAACATTATTATGTGACTTTTGTCAAATTTTAAAGAAAAGCTTTGAAAATCAGATTATACTAAAATATTAAATTGTTTATATTTAATATTTGAAATAAAGTTTTTCTGATTAGTTCTGAAGTAAATAATACCTTTAAAAATAGAAGATGATAAAACATTTTGCTATATCAAGCCTAGTGATTTAAGAATGAATTAAATATGATTACATTGTTATAATCAAGTCTATTTTGTCTCTTCTTGGGGGTAAAAAGATGTAAGACACATGACTGCAGTTAGAACTGATTTAAATTTGGTTTTGGCGTCTGTTACAATTAATTTTTTTGCATCAGGTTGATATTAGAACTTTTATTTCGTTTGCATAGATCTAAAAGCCCAAATGCAAGCCTGTTGCTGTCGAGTGGGTGCAAAGCCCGGGGCCGTGAGACGAGTACCGCCACACCCACAGGGTTTCCTTTTCTTGCTGCACGCTCTAGGGAACCAGGTCACACGGTTTTCTTTCAGGGTCCCCCTGGTTGGGTTCAGACTGTCTACCTTTCGATTACTAGTAAAGCACATATTTTTTGCCCCAATAGATGTCTTCATTTTCCAGAGTTAATACTTAAATTGCTCATTAAGAGAAAGAAATAGAAACATTATGAGAAACAAACAGATAACCGAGTTGGCCGACGCCCCCAAACTTCTAAGAGTTGGTAAAAGACATAGTGCATTAAAATATATACAATGCGAGTATTGCTTTAAGTATTTTAGGGTCAGTACCTGTGTGTGTAATGGTTCACCACACTGACTGGGGATACTTATATCATATGACCCTTCTAATGATACGCCTTCATTTTGTGACATTGTAAATCCTACCCTCTAGTCCTATGTCTACAGTCCCATTTTGGAATGAATTGTTCATTATGTTAATGAGACAGGGTTCAGGTGAGGTGTACATGTATCTTGTGTCACCATCTTATGAGAGGAGGTGATTCAAGTCACCACCATTTCTCTAGACTTCTCTGTTCCTGGCATAGGAAACCACATAATCACCTGATCCAAAGTGATCTGTAGCAGCTCATTTCAGCTCACTAATGTCTAGGTTATTTATGTGTTGTTTCCTCTTAGACACCTTCCAATCTTCCTAGATTCATACCTTGTACTTTACACATTTCAGTTATTAATGGATGTCTGCAGCTGGTTTCCCTCGTTGGGAGTCATGCCCTGATCCGTGAAGGTCCAAAGACCATGCCCCACCCAGGTCATAAAGGTCAACTGAACTTTGAGGATGCAGCTCTTCACCAGTCTTGCTTGAGTGTCTTTCAACCTTTGTTGTTCGTCTTCTGGCAGTTATCAGTTGAAATTCCACTGTTACTTATGTTTCCTGTGGCTGATCCCACAAAGTGGACAACCTATTCCTTTTCTCTAGTTCCTAGTCAGGAACTTCGCTGAACCATGGTGACCTTGCTGGTATTTGAAGTACTGGTGGCCTGGCTTCCAGCATCACAGCAACACACAAGCCACCACAATTTGACAGACTGACAGAAACAGTGGAAGCCCAACTCCATCAGGTAAATAGAAGTAGTATTGCACTCTCTATAAATGAAGAAACCCAGGCTATAAAAATGACGAAACAACCCAAAGTATAGAATGACAAAATTTGCCAATATCACAAAGCTAGAAAATGGTAGATTCAAACCCTAGCAGTCAAACCCAAGGGTAATATACCACTTCTGTATTCCTAGATACTGGGAAAGGGTGTCAAAGAGTCCATGGGAAAACAATTTTCTGTGAGTATCTGCTGATCATAGACTGTGTGCATGTAAATGCTCATGCAAAAATACAGCCAAATCACTCAAGGTGTATACTTCCACCTAGGAAAATTTCCCACATGCCTATAAATATTGGATGCTGTGCGGCTTTTGAATTGTCAAATTGAGACGGGAAATAATATTCTTCATTGTTGTACACATTTCTTTTTTATTAATGAGATAGTTAAAGTTTATTGTGCCAACCTAGCTGATAAACGCACGTGGGGTTAATTGAAAGGGGGAGAGATAAATGGCTCAGTGAGCCTCACCTTTCTAGTTCTAGGATTTCTTGCTTTCTGATGGTCGGACCAGGGTGCAGCTGCCGTAGCCAGTTACCCGCTTCAGTTGGCAAGACTCACTACCTGCAAGACATCCCTGAGGAGAAGCCACAGGGACCTAACCCCAAGGCAGCCC